AGTCGCGACTGATGGAAGAACTCTACGAACTTCCTCACATTCCTAAATCTCGCTCTACTCCATGCATCCTCAGGACAATGGGCAGGTCGAGCGCATGAATCTGAGGGCCAGAAGGTTGTTTCAGTTCGTCAAATGGTTGCCTTGGCTCCTTCTGAGATGCAGACCTATGCAAATGTCCTCTTTTATACCGACCCGCCGCTCGTCAACAGGCCATACGTCATTTACTCTTATGAACGACCACGAAGTCCGTTTTCCACCGACCACTTCCTGTTCCTGTCTGATTCCACCGCATGATTAACCTCACGAATTCTTACGAGAACTCGGAGCTACCCTCCATCTTACACACAATCCTGCTCGCATTTGTCAAATTGTGGCCCAATGACAAAAAGGATACAATGGTCGCCGTGCGCATGATGCGCATTCCCAGTCTGACGACAAGGCAGACCGCTATCCGGAAAGGCTGGCACCTGGGTAATCCGACAATTTCTCGGCTTCTTTGATAGGGCCTTGCGTTGTGAAAATTCCATTTGATGTTCATTGTATCCTTGGGGCCTCTGATGATCTTGACAGTCTCGCCTTCGTGGCTCACTTTAGCAAGCTCAATACATACTCATCGGATGATGCCTCTAGTGGTTCCGTCTTTACGAAATTACCCGAGTTCCCATCTGCGGAGCTGTCGCCCCCTCCCCTGTGACTCATCCCTACTCCCATCTTATCCGTCTTATCTCCCCTCGCCATCTGACAACCCGCGTCCGAATCATTCCCGGCGATCCCCGCCCTCTCCCCCCTATCTGTTTTTCCATCCCCTCGGCCTTCACATACTGTGGAAATCCTTCACGAAGATTGTTTTGGCATTCCGGTCGACGCCCCTATTTTTGAACCTCCTACTGCTGGAGAGTCGGTCCAACAAGAGGGGTAATGTGGTGAAAATCCACCATGAACCATTCCTTTTACTGTATTTTACTTCATACTACCTATCTGATTTAACCCGTTATAGAGGTCCGGGAACCAATCTCGAACGAGATCGCGGCGGACGACGCCGGATTAGACGTCAGACACTTCCAGTATCCCTCAGTGATGTGCGTGATTGGATTTCCTGACTGCTAGCCTGTTCGAAATTTCCCTCTCCCAAGCACCCTTTTGCCTGTCTACCCTCTTCGCTACCGTCCGCAAATAAACTTCTTTTATTACGAGATCTTCCTATTTGGTACGGTGCCTTCGCCTGCTCGGTACGATGGGTTTGTGAAAGTGTGCAGGTTTGAAATGTCGTCGGGTTTGACGTTGAGGTACTTGAATTTCTTATATCGAAGTGTGTTCTGAACTGAGTCTTCATATTACCATTCAGGCCGGGCTCTCATGTATACGCTGCCCTGAACAGATTTGTACATACACACCCAGTGTTGAGAAAGGTTGCTTTGGCAAATCTTGGAGAGTGTTTTTATTATTCTTGTTACATCCCAGCCAGATTCTACACCATCTCTACGTCTTCAGCTGAAGATGTTCCCATATATTTCTGTGTTTATAGACCAATGTCATAAGTTCACCCTCTATAGCAGGCCACGTCTGAATTGCGTTGAACCAACACGGAAGCCAAATCATGATTCGGCACACGTTAATAGGGCTGTGCACTCATAACAAATGCCAAACGTGGTGGCACGTCCAGACGGATATTCACGCCGCGCCAGCCACCTGCGCTCAATAACTGCACCAGGTGGCTGATCGGATCGGACAGTGGCCTGGTACCTAGGAGAGGGAAGGGTGACGTAGACTCTGGGGACTGCCCTCCATGGCACCCAGCGCATATTCATCACCATGAACAATCTGATGCACACTTAAACTATCGCAAATCGACTCACGCGTAATTCACCGTGCTGTGGCGCGCACAGGGGCATCGTCGTTCGTGATGGTCGAGCTAGAGAATTCCATATATGTTGTAGGCTGTAAGATTCCCTTAACCACCTAAATTTTCCGGCTTATTTCGCATTGTTCTGTAGTAATTCCTCATATGGTGTTCTTGAATGATTAGGTGTTTGTGTGCTGACGTTTTACCTACCACGACCATTTGGAATTTTGTTGACTCCCACGCCCCTTTTCTACACCTTTCCATTATAAAGCTTCCCGTAATTTCTTGATGTGTCCTACTCTTCCGTCGTAAAGTCCTAAGTTTTTGGTCCTCAAGTATGACATTGTTCCCACTCTATGCCCGAGTCGCCGTAACTCCTACTTCAGACAACAGATGTAAAACTAATCTAAAAAGCCCATCCACACACATTTACCTGCGCACAACGGACACGTAAGAGCCCGACAATCGGAGTCTGGTGGTTTGCCAGCGTCACAATCACTTTCCACCACAGCAGCGTTACTGACAAAATGGTTCATGATCATTCTCCCTATGAGTCCGAATTCCCTTGTTTTACAATAATGGTCCAAGTCGTAGGTAACAAAGCTAACGATCACCTGTTAAAAAATATTCGGTACTAAACATTTTTGATAAGACGTTGGTCATAAGCGGTCACAGTAAGGCGCGTGGGCGTGAACTGTTCAGAAAATCTGACAACAGCAACTTAAACATTTTAGAAAAGACTAAAGGTTGTTGCACAGCCTTCTACACTTCATTACCCACATTTGCAATAAACCATTTACTTTGCTCGCATCGGCTCTCTTTGCGGACAGCGCCCGTTAACGCCAGATCTCGACAGGAATCCGAAAAGCAACTCGTCATTCCTATTATTTTGCTGTCAGGCATGCTTCCATTGTAGTTATCATTGTAGAAAGTTCGGATTAGTGGACCCGTGACCTACTTTGGGAGGGGTCTTTGAGATGGCCACTATTAAACTCCGTGTCCAGAATCATATGCGGTGTATTCTGAGAAATCTCAAAAGAGCCGGAAAGAGAATAACCTCAGTGTTTTCCACGAATCATAACGAATGGTCGTTGCTGGTTTAAGCCCTTTTTAGCCCTTCGTAATGGCCGTCCTGTTTAAAAAATGGGACGATCGGTGTTGGTGGTTGTCTTAGGATATTTAAAAAAGTATCTAATGCTCCCTGAGTGAGACCGCACACGTGCTGTCGGTCGGCATTCGAATAGCCCAGCGAGACCTACCTGCCAGGTCCACCAGAAATTTCCTAACATCCAAAATACTACCTTTCTGGTGACTTTAACTTTTAACCGGTTCAAATAGCCTCGGCAAATTTTGCAAATACTTTCAAAGCACTACATAAGATACCAGCCGTTTTAGAAAACTCGCACCTTACTCTTAGAAGGGATGGGTGAACTTGAAAGCAGTTATGCTTAGGCAGTCTACTGTACGAGCGAAAAACGGATTTAACAATAAAGACCATAAAAGTGATGTAACGATGCACTGAATTTCTGAATGTGAGATGTAGTGTGTTAGTCTACCAAATTCTTTACCACAAGTTGCTAGTCACTTTCCAGAACGGCATTCCCTCACCTGATTACTACCAAGATAACCCTTAAACTAACTGTAACTAAGGTAGAATGGGAAGTCAAGGGAGGTGTATAGCAACACTGTGGAAGTGGCTAAATTCACTCTCTGGAGAACAAGCTAGAAAGTTACAATGCCAGGCAACTTTGCCAGTAAAGACGGCCATTTTGTCCGCACTTCCCAACTAGTAATCAGATTCCGACTAATTTCACTCATCAGTGTCTTGATTTCGAACCCTGGCGTAAAATACAATGACAGCTCATCGCAGTTATTGGATCTAAGTGGGGACAAAATTAAGGGCGGTGGGGCAGTACAACGGAGGGGAACGTCTGGCTGAGTAAGCTGTGAAGTTCGCTTTCTGAGTTCGGTTCATGATCGAAACGAGCACGCAAGCCTGTTCTCGAAGCTCGTTTGGGACATATTTAAGCGAGCTCTGAGTGAGCTCGAATCCATGACCACATCAGAGCTCAAGTAGAGCTCATGCACCTCGTGAAACGAGCTCTGCGCGGGCTCGGTAAGAGTTCTTTTTGCAATTAGGGAGCCTTCCCCCACTCTAAGCTTCTTTACGCGAGGGGAGTGCTGAATATGTATAGTTTTCTCTTTGGCCTACGATGATGCACCTACGCCAAACAATGTATTGCCCGTTTTCAAGCCTTTCGTACTAATGCCTCTAGATACTTGCAGTTTAACCGCAAAACAGTCCACCATTTGAACTAATACTTGTCGGGGTCGAAATTTTTCAGAAATTTTGTACTTATAGGTTTTTTATGATTTGCGTTTTTTCGGCAATCTGTCCGCAACGTCGGCAAACAGTGTTTCGAAAATCCGATTACTGCATACAGCATGCAGTGTCCGCTTGCAGGGATGGACTAAGACTAGCCGGACATTTTTACGCGTTCTTGCCTCAGATTTCCGCATTAAGTCACCCAAATTGCTGATTTCTACCTCTTACGGCAGTATACGGACACTTGGACAACTACTCCCAAAAGGGGAACGGATGTTGTCACTTACTATGCCTCGAGATACTTGCAGAAAATAAACAATGCGTTAATGCGCTCAAAAAGACAGGAAATACGGGAGGGCCTTTTATCGTGTATTGGACTGCGCTGCCTAACTTAATAACTTATGAAGTCCCCAACCGCCTATTTCGGCGTGTGTCGTCTACTTTTATTTGAAAGCCTCAAGTGCCGTGGAATCTGGAATGCCAATTAATTCGCCGGCAGCAGCACTGCGACGTATTCTCTTTTCGGTGCATTTGGGTGATACCGAACTCCATGTAATATTACATGGAATGATATTACACTGCCATTACTTGCAGTTCGCTTGATTAACCAACCTGCGTTTCCAACCCTTTGATCATGAAATTCGATTTACTCGCCTTTCGTAATTTTACCCCTTACCGGGAACATTTTTACTTCATTCCCATCCTTCTGCTTGTGCATTGACTATTTTGCACCTCTAAACTCCTACTATTTTCTTCTTAGTAATTTCGATCGAACGTGTGAACTGGCGAATCCACACGCCCAGTTAACCCCTGATTAGAACTTCTTTTTTCATGTCAGTCAATTACGCTTCTGGTCTTTCGCCCTACCCCAACAAAGGCGTTTGCGGTCTTCCTGAAATTTTCGATCAGGAGGAAACTCTGTCTCGTAAGATAACTTCTCTTGTCAACTTGATACGCACCTCCAAATACACTGTGGTACACACCGGTGCGGGTATCAGCACCACTTCTGGTATACCGGACTTTCGTGGACCGAAAGGTTCTATTACGTTCGTTGATTCTACCAGTAATTTAGGTGTCTGGACATTAGAAAAGCTGGGCAAGTCACCCGAAACATCAATATCATTCGAAGAAGCTCTTCCATCCCCTGGGCATATGTCTCTTGTTGCTCTAGAGAGAGCTGGTAAGTCTTGAGTACACCTCTGGCTGATTTTCAGGCTTTATAAATTATTTAGTTACGCAAAATATAGATGGCCTTCATTTGAGGTCCGGTTTCCCTATGGACCGGATGTCTATTTTGCATGGTGACATGTTTCTTGAGTTCTGCGATTCATGTAACTCTACATATGTCCGTACGTCATCGCCCGTCCCAACGATGGGTAGGCACTTCACCGGCTTCAAATGTACGAGAATAAAAGCTCATGGTAGACCATGCAGGTAGTTCTGCACTCGCGTCTTAACCTTCATTCCGCAGGGGTAAACTTCGTGACACCATTTTGGACTGGGAAGACGAACTCCCCTATCCGGACTATTCTCTTGCCGTTCGGGAATCACGGTATTGTTCTCTATGACATTCTTCTATAGAAACCACATTTCTATCAACGCTGGTGTACTTCAATTTTAAACTGACCCCATTGCTTCTGCTCATATAATTGCGTATTTCGGAAACCACCATTCTTTAATTCCAGGAGTACCGCTAAAGATAGCCAAAGTGCGCTGTCCAAACGCTTTGCTCATTCTCATCCGTTCCATACGTAGGACAGTGTTTTTGATATTTCCAATTTCCTTTCTTACCACTGGTAGCCTGTTGTATTTATGCCTTGAATATTTTTAGGGATCAATGTGAATTTCTGCGCTCTTTGCCTGGCCTATTATGTTTTCTTACCTTGTTTTGCGCACATCTTTAGGCCTTATTCGTTTGCATGGATAGCTTGTATCTGTTCCGTCGAGGATCTTTCAATATGTACGCCGGGGAACTGCATCTAGGGTCACAAGGGCTTATACTAGCATAAATAAGGTTGGCAGCAGCGAGGAGGGGCGACAGAGAATGCGGGTAGATTGAAACAGTACTGTTTCGGGCTTACTGCGCTTTCATTCAGTCAACCATGTCCCTGAGCAACAGCTGGGACCAGAAACACAAACATGCGCACAGACGCACCTGGTGCAGTTGGTTCACCCCTGGGGTCTACCAGTGGTCTCCCCATCTGGTATGCTTGGCTGAATGAAGGCACAATAAGCCCCAAGCAGTACTGTATCAATCTACCCGCATTCTGTGTCGTCCCTCCTCGCTGCTCTTATGACTTGACCGACTCCGACCTGGTAATTTGTTGCCTGTTCATGACCTTTGCCACCCATACGGAACTTGTTTGCTTCGTGAAGCCAACAGATCGGTGTGCCCCCATTCCTGATTGAATAAGTAAGGTTGTTGGAGATGCGGCGGTGTGCCAGTGAGTAAGTTGGATAGGAATATAAGCTGTAAACTCTGGGGGTGGGGGGAAGGGCAAATTTCACGAGGGAGCCAGCCCCAACACGATGTCTTAGTTTTTTTTCGCCGAACGCGTCGGAAGATCATGCCCGTTTTAGTTGCATCTAGTCCTGTTTTGTAATAGGATACGCCTTTAATTCCTAAGTACCCTTTTCAGCCGGATGCCTGACCTACACTTCCAACAACAACGGCAAAACTGGGCTTCGAAGATGTCGTCGTTTATCATCTGATGACTGACGGGCCATATAAATGTTTGTGAATCTGGACATTGCCAGTGTGGATTCCCTAATAAGAACGTTTAGTTAGCCGAATTTTTAATGTATGCGATGGTAGATTGCGGGTTCTTTGCTCCACGCCAACATTAATTCGCCATAGACATTCGAAGGTCAAATTAGTCATTTCTCACAAGAAACCTTCGTATCTACGCCTTTCTGGCCTTTTTCTGCAAGCAACCTGTGTGGGCTCCTACTTAAGCTTTCTTACCTAACAATCCCTATCATAGCGTCACGTATGAAATGACCGTCTTGATTCGGTTTCTGGTGTTATGTTACGCAGGTTAAGTCGCAAAGCTTATTAACAAGGAGCGTACTCCCGAGCCCACTTCTGCGCGGTAGCCTGAGGGTTTTCCGTCGAGTGTCTGTTCGCCAACTCTCGTAAATCACCCGGACACTAATTCCTTATGCTTGTTTAATAGAAAACGACATTTTAAAAACTGATTTAAATGACGTCTTATAGTGCTTGTGTATTTTGAAACAACCTGTGCTCCCGGTTATTTATTTGAAGTTTTATAACTCAGCTTCGTACACCCTCATAAAGAGGCCTCTTAATACAATACTAAACCGCCTATGTATCCTGTTGTATTTTGAAGTGGCACTAGGAGACCCGACAGTTTAACCGTCTTCCGACGATGCCCACCGTGTGTTTTACAGCAGGGTGAGAGCGGGCACGACGACTTGCGCGTGATTTCTTTTCTAGTGGTAGTAGATTTGCGCTAAAGCTGCGCACTCTCTCCTCCCCCACCTGAGCCCGGTGTCAAGACCATAGTCAAGAAGACCGGAGGCGGGAGAGGGCGCAGGTGGCTGGTATGGCCGCTCCTGCATCCAGGCGTGCCGCCACACTCCCTGGTCCTCAACAGGATTTTGCACAGCTATAAAAAAGAAGGGATTATTGGGATCCTAACTGGCTCAGCGTGGGTCTGCAGCTGAGCGTGACACCACACCCCCAATATGGTTTTTTTATTGGTGCGCATTCCCAATAACGCCTGCAGGATCCTGACCTATCCTCCACGTTGGACCAACGCATCTACCTCGTGGTCATTAGGAGCAAAGGGCATGAGGTTGGTAGGTCACATAGACAATCCTGTGAGCGTATGCAAAGTTATTCAAGTTGCAGACTTTACATACCTCGACATTCCCTTGAGTAATTTCTCGTAAAATTATTATAAAACACCCAAAGCACTATTCACTAGAGCAACCGAGTTCATGCTTTGTCAACCGAGGTGGAGAATACGCGGTATGTGAGTGGCGTTCGCCGACCTATCCAGGACGGAGTACTGGACGACTCAACCTCACAGAAGTTCATATCTAGAGTACTTTCTCGTGTTTCATCGGCAATTTTTCCCGATTTCTGATTGCTGGTCGCCAAGCAACTGTCTGCGTGAGCTCCAGGCCAGGGCTTCGAAGGCGAAACACTGGCATCGAAATTCCATGGAACGAGTAGTTACTTTTTGCAAACTTGATTCAGGAGATGAGTAAACGTACTTGACTGGAAGTATATGAGTATGCTTCACATCAACAGGCTTAAATAGCCATTCCATGTGAATCAATTTTATGTTTACAGTCCCTGTCTTTTGATCGCTTCCACTTAGACCTTCAATGGGGTTTTTGAATTTCAGCAAGGCCTGTTTGCATATCTGCCTCGGAACGTCTTTACAGATCTTCCCGGCTGCTGGCCTACCTTTCCAATCCGGCCCTAGATTTTCGGGCAAAAGAAAGCGACCGACTGATGCCACGACTGAAAACTGCAAACATGCAAACGTCATTGAAGCAGAATCTCTGCCAGAAGCCTCTAAGGTCGTAATCGTGAATCTCCAGCCAACAAAAATGGATTCACGAGCCAACTTATGCCTACATGCGCCGATTGATCGAGTTCTATCAGAAGTGTGTAATAAGCTTAATGTGGCTGTTCCAATCCCAATGAAGACGTCTCGAGTATTTGAGCCTAACATCGTTCTTCGGTAGGCCCCCACATCTTGTGTTCTACTACTTTCTTGCCTAGGGTCCATCTCCAAACTTGTTAACTTTGCAGATCACTATGTAAAATTGTTTCCTTTATAGGTCGTGTCACGCATCACAAGCAGGACGTCCCCAGCATATCTACTGGCATCCTGCCAACGAGCACTCCCCCTCAGTAACACCGACATGTGCCCAACCTTCGCATCCAAAATATGAGTTGAAACTGCATGAAAATTCCTGACTCAGTGGATAGACCTTTATACCAACCCCACAATTTTGCATTTACGTACAATCACCCAAAATGTGGTTCACTTCTCTGGGACATGTTTTGATATACTGGCCTTATTTTATTACCTTTAATATTTGGCTGTATGTGCTGCCCAGCCGGTCAACTCAATAGATCGAAAAAGAAGCTCAACCCCAACGCCGGCTTTTTTACCTACTTACTTGTACTTAGTACGTCTGTGACCATGTCTAATGTAGCTGGCCTCGATGATGTCGCGCATTGCATTCCCACATTTAAGACGAGGTCGGCGTACTTCGCTCGAAGGATGGTCCTCAGGTACCGGCGGTCAAATGCCTCAGTTTTCGCTCGTCTTTCACGCGCAAAGACTAGCATTCACAACTGCAGAGGAGCACTGACCAGCACGAATGCATCTTGCACGTGGATCCTCTTAACGATGGAGATGTCGCGGTGGGTCCATTAATACTTTCTAAAGATGGAGGAAGTCCTGCAAGCGGTGTCGATTCGGGAGACAATGCCGTCCTTGCTTTGTCCGTCAAGCAGCAACCTTGCCCGAGATATTTGAAACCGTGTACTTTTTTCAGGTTGTCTACCATAAATCCCGAAGGATGCCTTCTCTTGGTCAGGGATGCAACTCTAAAACAATTCGGTCTTCCCAATGTTTATAGACAAACCGACCGAAAGGCGAATTAATTCACCCGCGATGCCACAGGCTGTAGATTTCCAAAGCTTGGGGCCGGAAAGGCGATATCGTTGGCGTTGTCTAGATGAGTCAGTCGTCGTCCGGGTGCAAACTCAACACCTTTAATATCCTGTAAGGCTCCTCCGAGAGTCCAGTCAATGACGTGGTTGAACAGAGGGGACGATATAATGCAAACTTACTTAACACCAGATTGGATACCGAGCTGTTGTAACAGACTGTTGTGGGCTGGAACTCGCGCAGTGATGGAGCAATAGCAGGCCCTGATCATGGCGATGATTTCTGCCGGCATTCCGACAATTTCCATTATGCGGTGGACGGGAACAAATGTAGCGGTGGATTTAACAGAGTAGACGGCCGTCGGCTCCTCGTAGTCATGGCGGAATCCCAGGATTCGCTTCTGTCTGAATATCTGGTCTGGTCATCCACGGTCAGCTTGGGATCCGTCTTGATTTGGCCTTCGCAGTAACGTCGATGAGGCTAGCGCCGCGGTGATTAGCGCACATTTTGTCACCCTCCTTGAGGATAGGTACAGGGATGCCCGGGCTCCAGTCATTTGGAAAAGTCTCATCTCTACGCGTCCCAAATCACTTCATGGAGCCAGGACGTCAGAGTGCGGGCAGGAACCTTGTAGATTTCGGTGGGCATGCCTCTCCTCTCTGAGCGTCTTGTTGTTGAAGAACAACTGTATTGCATCGGTGATTCCTCCTTCAGGGGGAAGTTGGCATGGCAGTGCATACGCCGGAGAGGGATAGGACTCCGCTGCGGAGGAGAGTGAGGGTGTGATGGGTTGGCCATCGAAGTTCACGCCAGCAATGCACCTTGACCGAGTCGTCGGCAATAAAGCCGCCATTCACATCTCGAACAGAGTTACTAAGTGCCGAGAGCTTGCAACTAAGTTGGCGGATAATTTTATGGTTTTCGAGTGTCACCAGCGTCTGAGACCTGTTCGATTGAGGTCACTATGGCAGCCCAATACTACTACCAGCCACCTCGAGCCGACTTTGCTGTTCATTTCTGACGTTGACAGGAGGCGGCATCGTTGCAGGCCCTGGCTCGAGCCGTTTGGACGAACAGTTGCAGGGTTCTTCCGCTGATTGCATGGCTGTAGAGCCGCTGACAGAATTCAAGGATTTTCTCAGCGGCCCCATAGACTGATGATTTCAATGATAACCATTGGCTGATGCCTCCAGTGTCGCCTCGGACCGTGAAACGAGACAGGATACATGTGCTCAGGGCCTCGGCGGTGCTGGGCTGTCAAGGCTTCTCGTAAATGGCATTTGGAATGCAGATGAGGAGTGGACTTTTGGGCACGATAGCATGATCCAACACACGGGTGTTGCCAGTTTTGGCACCTGGCATCGATCTGCTATCGCGGGCCAAGGATCTGACTGGCCATATAGTCGTCCGTTGAATACCAGATCCGCAGATGGTGGAAGCTCGCGTTAATGACATAATGCCGGTTCTGATAAGTATAATTCAGCATTCCTCGCCGCTATTGCACCGACAGCCAAGCCCAGAACGGCCAGTAGAAAGACTGGTTGAGGAGTCGCAGGGTTCTGTCCGGACATTCGAGTCCCCGGTAACAATCAGCAGATCACGGCGAGGGCTTCTGTCAACTAACCCCTGCAGATGCGAATAGGTCGTTTTACCGCGTTATTCGGTAGTTGTTGTTGGTGTGTACACAGACGACAGAGATGTTTGTAAAATGATCCTTCAGCCGTGCGTCAACCATCCGGTCATTGAATAGTTTCCATGCAAGTAATGCACGCTTCGCCTGTTGCGAGGGGCAATCGCCACAATGTATCTACCAGATAAGTCGGGTGGGCCACTGAGGTACAGGGCGAAATGGGAGTTGACTGCCCGCATATTTATTTCCCGAGAGCCTGAATTGAGAATTCTGACTTCAGATAGGCAACAGGACACCCACGTTGCACAGATGAAGAACGCGCGCCGCCAGACTGGGGGTACCAGGGTACAGCAACGCCAAAACACTCCAGAATCTAGTACCAAGATTCTGTTCCCGACTGAATAATCCAGCTCGCATATTATTCGTCCGCACCACTTGATCACGGTTGCGGAGGCTATCGGTTTCCCCGGATGTCGTAGCATAGATCGTAATACTGTAGTCAAACACTCGTGAGGTTTTTTGGTGATTTAGAGTACAGTCCTTTCCCCAACCGCCGCTCGGATTGTTTGAGGTTGCCCCCTCTAGGAGTTTGACTCAAGAACATAATGACAAGGCAGCGGCAGCAAGCAAACTTATTTAATGGCGGTTCACGGTCACCATAGTATAGTTCCACTCTCCGTCACCTGTGGACGCGTCGGGTAGCCAACAGCCCAATGGTCAACGGCGCCGGATCTGGCGCAGCGACAATGAGCTGCGGGAACTGTCTAAACCACCACATTCGTCTTTCTTGGGTGGCCTGAGATATCCTCGTGATATTGTCACAGCGAGTGTGAACTGCTTGATTTGGAACGAATTCGGCATACTTTACTTGGAGAGTCGTCCCTAAGCAACGGTGGTCAGATACCTTCAGTTTTTGCTCAGCTTCTATGCGGAAAGCCAAGCATTTACAGCCGTAGGCAGGACTGACTGGACGGATGCACGGCACGCGTGGACCCCCGTGGCGATGGGATGTCACTTCGGGCCCATAGTCTCTGGGGATTGTGAAAACCCTGCAAGCAGTATCGATTTGGGAACGATGTCCTAATTTGGTTGCATCTCGAGTGTATTCCACAGTGAGCAACGTTCGAGTAGTCATAAGGTGTTCCCTGCGTACAAATCGCATCTGCAGCAATGAACCTATGAACTAATGGGCATCCGGCGAATGTGACCCACTACTGAAAAGCCCGGCTGCTGGCTTACTAACTGCCTTAGCCTTTCCCTCTCACTGCGGCGGTTTTTTGTGAGAGGGAATATTCAAAGTGGGTCTGGGCTGTCTGCTGCATTTTTAAATCAACTCATGTTCGTTTTTTGACGTCTTTGCGCCTTTTCTATAATATTACGGAAATTTCACTGATACGGCGGGGAACTGTCAGGCAAATTGTCCACTTCAACCAAATAGATCCCACTAAGCACATTCCTAGTCCGAAAATGTGTGTTCCAAGAATGATAAGTATCATTTTTCATCCGAAGACTGCCGTTATTTGCGACGGTATTGCACCAACAACGTCATTACTTACGGGCTGTGCGTTTCCCAGTGGTACAAAAAAGGCGGGATCGCGCTGACTAACCGTGCCATCTTACCAGTAAGACTTGCTGTCAGTCGCTTATTTCGCATTACTAACTGCCTCTTTGATCAAGTGAGGACATCCGCATTATTGACGGTTGCCAGCTTGTAGAGAATAAGATTCGAAATCTGGGTTTAGTCTGTTGAAGATGAAGATAGGCTCTCCGGACCAGGTTGATTTAACGTTGTCAAATGACAATGAAGAGCCGACCTAGCTCCTTGAAACGTCAGCACTTAAATAAACCTGGTACAGAGAGCCTATCTTCATCTTCAAATAATCAACCCGGGTATCTGAACTTTGCCAATTTAGTCTCTTTGGTCAGACGGACTGTGTAAGAACGTCATCGAACTCTATGCTGGGTTTTTGAAAATCTCTCGGGATGTTTTATGCTGTCACGACGACCCGGCGGTTCCGAACACCAGCCCGCATCCGATGTCCGCCCGCCTAGTCCCTGAAGGCTGTGAATTCCGGACCGTGTGGATGCATAAACAAGAAGCCTGGGTTTTGTCCAACGTCGCTCGAGGACCTTTTGATTTAAGTACGTGTATTTTGTCCCGAATTAGAGTCATTCCTCGCTAAGGCAACCTTGCGAGATATCAGACCATGATGGACACCGTGTTTTCCTTTCGCTGGTGGCGACATTCGTCGTAACTGGTTCATTCGGCTGCATACCGTAGGCCTATCACACCGGTGTGACGTAGATCCTCAACAGAAGTTATGCATATTAACACACCAGTCCCACTGGATTAGATGTGTTCGAGCACGGGTTCCACTACATCTTTAGTTGGCCGAACAGACGTCGCCAAGAGAGGCAGCAACGCAGACTATTTCTGTCCTATATCGACACAGCATACGGCCTAACCATGCAGTCAATCGCACAGGAATGGCGTACACCGGTCTATCTATATTATAGGAAGGATATGGACACCCTTGTCCTCAGATGACACAACGTTGACAGGTAGTGAAGGTGACTACTCCAAGCATCCCCTTGTCGGCAAAACTTCTCTATCATATAAGTAGATGCGGAATTGCAGTTGAGAGGTCTTGCTCATGACACATTCTTTGCTGGTGGTCGTATGCGTTCGCGTCTAAATCACGTATCGAGCTCATCACCACAGGTAATAGCGCGCAGTTTCTCATCCCATTGGCTAGTCATCGCGTTCCTTACGAGTTGGGCTGTATGCCAATAATGGGTAAAGGCCGCTTGACGGACTAGGGTCTGCTTCAAAAGCCAGAGTCTTATAGACGATGGGTTCACACCTGGATAAATCTGGACGGCCAGTTGTTTAATTCGACTTGCAGATCACATCTAACCGATATTTAAAGTCCACGTGGGTCACTGCAGTACACGCAGTTCGCCCCTCCCTGATGACGGACCACCTGTGACGAGAGGGCAGTGTTGACCAGCGTGAACTAGACTGCAGTGATGTAGACTCCAGCGGCATTTACCTCAATCCCTTCCTACACGCACAGGATCTTAATGACGAGACAAATCCAAAATGACTGGTGCGGGGCGTGGGCGCAGTAGTTGAATGTAGGCCCACGCTTGCTAGCTCCAACACGCAAGAATCGGGATCTCACATAGATGAGGGGCTAATTCAGCTTGACCCCAAATTCGCAGGACCTAGTAACCTCGTCAGTCGGTATTCTTCCAGGCCACGACCTTTAACGCGTGGACTTTATTGTAGTAGTATGGTAGTAAACACTGAATCGGCCCCACTTCCCCTCCACAATTTGCCAGTAACAAGTTCGAACTCTGCCTAATGGAGATGAGGTCGGTTGTCCTGGATGACCAAGCGTCAAGCGTGCCACATCTCTTCGGTCTCTACTTATATCTACCGAAAGCCATTGCGGAATTCCTCGACTTGCATTCCGACGAAACTAGCTTACTACTAATATAAAAACTTGCTGCCTTTCGAGTTATGTAAATGTTCAAAACTTGATGCGAGTAAAAACCACTGTTAGGAGATTTAAAATAACCAGAATCCTTAGCGAGGATCGCTAGCAATCGTCATCCCCAATTAAGTTAAAATATTGGGGGAAATGCTCGAAGTTAGCCGCATCTTAAATGGCCGAAGGCGGGTTGTGAAATAATTGTTAACTTTACCTTGGTAAAACACGAACGTGCATGCTGGTTTTTAATAAGTCTCACAAAATACTGGGCTGTTATACCACATATGCACAAGAAATGCGAGTGTGTAACTTCCTAACGTCTTTTATGTCAAAATGAACCGGGAAGCCACTTACAATGTGCTGGACCAGGGTTAGGTTGCACACTTCGGCATCTTGGAGACATTCAGTACTTATTGTGACTCCACAGAATGGCGATAGAATTTTATCGAATGCGTAAATGACGTCAATCCAATCTCCAAGACCAGAAGACGAGTCATCTTCTAGTTCGCGAAAGACAACGTATCAAGGGTGAGCAGTAATTCTATTACAAAGGTCAAACGAAGCAAAAGTTTTCAAAAACGAATATTGACGACAAAAGTGTCAAGATAGCAGAAGAATTCAGAAAAATAAATTACAGGTTGCGAGACTAATGCAAAACAACAATCAAGAACGGTTTTTCAGCCTTATAATATAGCTGTATAATGAAGCTTGCGACACAAGTTCGGTCCAATACGTGGAAAGACAGTCCGCAAAAGTGTTGTCTGAAAAGCAGCGAGGAAGAGTGATTTTTGGCAGATTCTCCGTTGAAATATGAGGGAAGAATTTCTCAGTGAGCAAGAGGTCTCCCAAGTCATACCACTGAACGTTCCTAAGAGCTATGGTCCCAGGCATAACCTGTAAGTGCAAATATACATCAAAGAATGGTTATTCGAACTTATTTCGGCGAGACCACAGTGTGAAAATGTTCGCTTGTGGCGGGGATTCCTTTCTACTACCATATACCAAGACGGAGGAAGTCGCGAAATATAAATCAATTATTAAGCCGGGAATTGGATGAGTGTAATAGCGTTTGCCCTCCGTAATTTCCTTCAGTGAGCTGTTGTTGACTTCAGGTGGACGTCAACATGCACCTAGTAGATACGCGGCTCGAAAGGTTGACATTGTGAATAATAAAGGTAGTTTACAAAGCCCCAGTCCGTTGTTCTTGAATTTTAAAAGAATACTGAAGGGGATCCGTGGCCAGACGAAATGAGTCAGAGGCGTGAGGCTTACATCCTAGGGCTGGGGGGAAGTTGATTTCAAGTTCTTCTAGTGGTGGAGGAGTGGGCAAGTCGGTTTATGAAGTAATAGTCAGGGTGTTTGCACCATTTAACTGGAGGAAGCAAGTGGGGGAAGACCGGTGAGGCAGACAGCAGGCGGTCCACGGTGCCCTGCGCGCGAATACTCCCTGCCATGTGGGTCGGCATTTGGCGAATGGCCTTAGAGATGGAAACAGTCTGGTGGCCGCCTCATACGTATTAAAACTGCGCAGACTTCGAGACAAGTGGGGCGTCAGTGGATTCACTGGTGCGGTCTACACCAAACACCACGGTTTCCTCAAACTCTTCACTTTGTCGCTAAAACCCTTGCTAAACTTAAGGTGCAGCGAGGTTATACAACTGCCTCATTGGGTCCAGCCTACACAGACTCTAGCATGACATAAATCTCAAAAAAAACAAGTGAAGAGCTGAATCATTCAAAGACAGAAGAGGACTCACCAAACGCAGTATCACTTCATCATGTGCGCGGCTTTTGATACACTCAAGTAGACTAAACAGGTCCGAAGCCGGCCGACCAGCAAGGTCGATGATGCCAGGGCAGATGAGCTCGTGCGGGGGAAAATTTAGACAACTGTGAAAATCCAAACTCCTGTTACTTGGAACTCCAAAAGGAAACCTGGGAGGCATATAAGTTTTGTAGAAGATGGTGACATCCACGGGTTTACTGGTAGCCGCCTCGGCCGATTCCAAGGAACTAAGAAGTGGTATTAAGCCGGCCTGGTGGAGGAAGTCCCAAAATATCGTAAGTGACGCCTGGGCGGTGCACCATATGATCACAAACAAAATGAGCCAGCGACTGTGTTTTCCACCAGCGAAGAAGCTCTCTAGGTTCTGTGCACCCAAAACAACAGTTACGGGAAGCAACGGGAGTAAAAAACGGCTTTCTTTGTGCGGAACAATAGACAAGACGGTCGTGGCAAGTACCAACGAAGTCCAACAAGCATATTTCAACGCAGGAGTTTTTTGAGGGAACAGGGGCAAAAGTGCAGCCACTAAGACAGCTGGAGTAACCATGAGGGGCCAGTGAATGAAGATGTAGGCGTACCAAGGATGAAGACCATGCTCTGCGAGCTTCTCTTTCGCCGAATTGTAGCGCAAAAAACGTAAAGGGGTCACTACCCAGGCTCCAGGTTCAGAAATATGCGCGTGGGGAGTGAAGTGTTGGGTATCGAAATAGACCAGCATCAGACCCACAGAAAGGGCAGCTGCAGCACTCAGAGGAATGTGAATGAGAAAAATGCGCAAACGGTTTGGGTTTTTGATGAAGTTGTACAGTTGTAATATTGCAAATGGTAAAACAAACACCACAAACGATGGACGAAGAAAAGATGCCCAGACAAAAACAAAAGCCTCTAGAAGCAGAGCAAGGATCCCGACCTGCTGAGACAAAAAACAAAAAATGCACACAAGAATCCCTTCCCAGACGTTGCTTAAGGTTCGACTAGTCCATACAAGGCCACCGTAAGCCATTGAAGAAAAGAGTAGGAGAGCCAGAGGTGGGCCCTGATGACGGAGGCTTAACGTCGAAATCTTCCTTGAAAGCCAGAGTATATATGCATCGAAAATAAAGGAAAGCAAGAGAGTGAAAATCCTCATCGGAAAAAGAATTCTCATAACCAACTCTCTGCTAGTATATGTATCATTCAATGGAGATGGCCAAAGAGTTCTCGTTAACTCAATTGGAATCTTGAAGAACGGCCATAAGGAAGCATAAGATCGCACTGGACCAGGTCCGTTGGTGTCAAATTCCCAAGTCTTGACGGTGCAGACCCTTGGGTATGAAATGCTGGCGCCAATTTCGACTGACTGAAAAAATTCATCGGGGTGGAGATACCCAGGGTGAAGATTCGCCACCGAGGTAATCCGATAAGCCGCCAAGGCAACGTAAACGGCCCAGGAAAGGTACTGGGAGGACTTTGTCGGCCTCTGAGAGGCAGTGCGTTTTTTTGCCATTACCTTTATGGACAAAAAATTTTTAAACAAAACTTTTCTCGAAGACGAAACAAGGAATCCCCCAAAGTAGAGTGAAAATGCGATGCTATCTTCAACTAATAAACTTTCGAGAGCACTTCGCGCATGTATGTAGCTATACCGTGCAAATACAGTGACATTTTCAATACCCATGGCTTCTTTTCTGTTGCAATTTTGCCTAATACTTAACGAGTTCTACAGGTTTTTGAGACGGCAAATTTGTTACCGTATTGTCCTCCTCAGAATCAGGCAGCTGGACTAGCCTGAACGAAGCAGAAGTCACTATTCCAATGGATGATTATGCCGATATGATGCCACAGAGTTGCCCGTAAGTAGTTTACCGGTGTAGCTACGGACACGGTGGATGACAAATTAGTCCTGGGGAAAGTTCGGCTGTAGGCTGCAGTGAAAGATATTCTGTTGGATCCCATAACTTCGTTATTGAAGTGCGAAGTATTGTGTGTTTCCCTAAAAGCGGACCGCGCGATGTCGTGCGACCAAAATGGGAGCTATGGTAACTTAACATTTACGCTAGTGTGGCTGCGCAGCGTTTGAGCTGGTCTTTAACCGCTACCACGCATCAAAAGCTTTCTCCGATGAACAAATCTACATTCATGCAACCAGCACGTCTTAATGGTGTGATACACAGGCTGTCGGTGAGTACGCGCAAATCAGGCTTAGAGGTCTGGTCATAAGAGCATGAAAGAGGAATACAAGGTGATTATACGTTATGTGACTAGCAGTAGTGAACAGTACTAGTAGTGGTGGCAGCAGTAACGGCGGCGGCAGCAGCAGCAACAGCAGTGGTAGTAGCAGCAGCAGCAGCAGCAGCAAGTCAGCTATGAGAACAGATCAGCAATTTTCGAAAGTTTGAGGGTGTATCATATTTTATTTCAGGGAAAATCTTTGGTTCTTGAAAGAGAAATGACGTTCCCGCAGGTATTTAGCGCTGATCATTAAAACCCGCGGAAATAGGCTTTTGCAATGGAGTTCTGACTGAGGATATTCGTCCTGCGAGATTAAGTGAACAGGGGATCGCGGACATAAAGCTAATGGCGGGTAAAAACATCAGAAAGCGAGTAGGGACGTTTCTAAAGACGTCCATTTTAAATATTCTCCCATCTCTGTGACACCGAATTCTACACACTTATACTTTCGAATAAATCTGAACTCGACCCGCAGTTGCCTCTGCGCTTGGGGCTTCCAAACTATAGCCACTAACGAATCTCATGAAATGTAAACCAAAATGATGGAATGCATTTTCGACTAAGAATTACTTACGTGGGACTGTAATACCGATTACCATGCAGTATAAGCCCATGGCATTTTAGACAAGGTAGGATGTTGGCTTTGCGATGCATACTTTCCGGTCACCTGCAAAAACTGCGATGGGTAGGGAACTATTACTTAAGTAGTACAGCTTCTCCGGTTGATACTCGATAACATCCCTCTAAAATTAGTACTCAACGGAAGAGTGCATCTGGATTTTAAAAAGTTCCTCAATTCTAAAATAATTTTGAGTCACAATTGCCTGTGCGTTTGCATGTAGGATTCTCAGTCCACAAGCTGTACACTTTCCGTGTACGAAAAATCGTAGACTCGTCTAGGCCTTTAAGAAGACGGTCTAAAGTGCTAATAAAATGTTGCTATGAATGTAAACTATATTGCATACTTCAGGAGGAGCATTTAAAAATGGACGAATACGATTCTATCTGAAGAGACATTGCACAGTCTTAGAAAATTCCTTAGTTGGAAACTTTTTGAAGCCAAAAGATATCCTTCCTTCAAGCATAAAACTTAAAGAAGTGGCTTCCTACCAATTGAGTAGAAGATAAACACTTTATGCGCGTTTTCCGTAGAATATATTTCAGTTTCTAAAGACAACGGGAGTAACTCGGGAAAATTCATACTACTTGAGTGGTCATTTTTTGGCTAGCGCGGTTCTTGCAGGCGACCGGAAATAAATGCACTCAAAAGCCAACATCCTGATGTGCCTGAAATATAATGAGATTATGCCGCATGATAATCAACATTACAACTCCATAAGAGTAATCTTTCCTAATTGGGACCACATCTTAGAATTTCTGTACATATTTCATGAGATCGGCTACTGACTCTACATGTATATTTTCCAGGCAAGGGTAAAAACATGCATTTCTCTATGTCTTTAAGATGACGACATACATGACATCCTGTCGGGACTGAAACATTTTGGGATTATGCTATATGATGATCAACATTGCAACTTCGTCTAAATAATCCCTGCACAACGAAAAACATTTCAGGTTAACATTGTATGAAAAAGATCAGCTACTCTGCGTCGCCAGACGACCTGTATCGTTTCATCTGACTGTCTTAGGTTTCTCCTGAATTGCCATAAATGCAGCAAATGTAACCACAGAAAGAGCCTCATCTCTACCAATGTCATGGAAATCACTTTCAATGTTAAGTACAGAATGACATGACAATGTCACAAAATATCCCACCGAACAGGAGTCGCTAGTTAACTACCATGAACAATGAGATTTGAGGTACCGCCGCGCGATGAGGCAACACCTCACAGGTGGCAGGCCCGGATGTCTCTGGGTTAGCGACATCTCTGTGATCATGGGGGGATTCACAGCGTCTAAGGAGAGTTCCTCACAGATGCCACAAAAATACAGACGACAGCATGATGTATTTTTTAACTACCATGATCTGAGGCTGCTGGACCTCCAGATACGTCGATAAACTGGTCACGATAACTAAATGAACCAGAACCACAATATACTGCACCTTTCGCGGCGAAATAGCGAAGACTCCAAAAAATGCTCTTCGGGAGGACCAGGAGGACGAAACGCCGTCGGAGGTTCACGGATTGCTTCCTCCCCCAGCCGCTTGCCTATACATCAGTCTATCCACCCATTCGTATTAACAGACGGATATACTATTTGGAGTTGCTGTTGTATTATTTAAAAGATCCTAAGGGTACGCTTACGCATTTTATACTCCAGGTCGAAGGTGGGGGGAGAGGGCTACAATAGGGATTACAGGTAGGTACAACAGTCATGCGTGATCGTATGAACGGGTCATGTGCGTGTAGTGGTAACTGCATACAAGACAGGCTGGCATGTATGTGGCATAAAATTGGGTAGCATCGTGCCCGTAAGCATAAAATTTAGAAACTGCCCAGTATATATGGAAAGTAATTCGAGTTATGCACACTACAGAACAAATTCCGCACTCGGATAACTGAAAACAACCGGGAGGTGTGCCTTTAGAATCAAATGCGGAAGGTACACGCATATGTTATCAAGAATTAACTATTTGGCAATTGCTCCTCTGACTACCTGATATTTTCCCACATACGAATTCAGCCGGGCTAAGACGGAGCAGATATCATGAATGCGCATGCACGGTCACGGAGAGGTCAAAAATGGAAATGTTATTACAATGGGAGGACACATAGAATAACTAACTAACTGGCGACTACTGGCCCAGCAGATAGTGAAAAGGGGAGTAACAGCAGGCTACCAAATTTGTGATTGCTAGTGGGAAGCAAAACATATACGTAATCAGGGTTCGGTGGCTACCGGGAAGAGGGGGTACTCGCTAGCCTAGCTGCTGGCTACCCGTCGCGACCCTAGGTGGCGGACAGTGGAACATCCTTCAGCGAAGGCTGGTTGCGAAATAGGCAGATTCTCGGGTCTGGCGAAAAGGCAGTCGTGGACCGGCGGTGATAGTGCTACAAGGGTACGGAGGGCTGGGGTCCTGCACGCTAGCATCCTTATAAAATGCCACAAAGTCCGATGGCGGTACTGCGACATGGCACCGTGCACCGCCATTAAACAAGGTTTCTTGACCCGCTGCCTTGTGGTTGGGTTCCTGAGGCAAACTCCTAGAAGCAACCTTGAACAAACAATCCGAGCGACTGTCGGGGACACGCCTGTATTCATACTTTCCAAGAAACTTCATGAAAATATGTTCGAATACAGTATTACGACCTAGGTTACGGCGTCTGCAGGGAACGACGCGTTCCGAAACCCCGGTTCAGTGCTCCAGGCGAATTGTGTGTGAGATGGACTACTCAGTCGAGAGCGGACCCCAGATAATGGAGGATGGGATGTGCGAGCGTTTCTGGACCCTCGTATTCCAAATCTGACGGCGCGCAGACCTCATCCGTATAATGTGGATGTCTGCTGTCTTCTAAAGTCCGAATTTCCGACTCTGGCGCCCGGAACATAAAGATCCCTGGAATAGACTCAAACTTCACCCTGTACCACAGAGGCCCACGCGATTCTTCTAGTAGGCACGGTGTGGCGCTCACCCATTCAAAACAAGCGAATCGTGCGCTACATGCTTAGGAACCAGTCAATGACCGGATGGTCTATAAGCGACTAAATATGCGTCGTGCGACTCGCTTCCCAAAAATAAATCACTGATGTAATACAAAGGCTGCTCAACAACATGGCACTCGGAGAGGACGGTGTTCCCGGTGGAAACTGCAATTCTTGTGTCGACATCGTGGCGCCCTGGCTTCATGAAGTGATTGAACAAGTGTGGAGAGATGAGGTCGTTCCTGATCATTGAAATTCGGGCATCCTTGTGCTTGTCTTCAGGAAGGGATTTAAGGCAAGAAGAGAGAACTACCGCGGTATAAACTTCAACGACGTGGCTGTGAAGGTCTTCGTCGTTGTCCCTCTCAGGCGATTCTCGGCTGGAAGGTCTAACTAGGCCGGATTTCGAGCTGAGCGTGGATGCACCGATTATATATTAACAATGAAGCGCATTCTTGAATTTCGTCAAAGCTACCAACAACAAACGGCCGTCCGCTTTGTTGATTTTGCTGATAGGTTCGGTCGCATCCATCGCAAATGTATGTAGCCAGCAATAAAAATAGATACTGTGCGGACCAAAATCATCGCCACGGAACGCCTTACACGAAGCTGGAGGTGTTGAATTTGCACCCTGCCGCCGGCTGACTAATCTCGACTACGCTGAGGATAGGGCTTTACTAACTTCAAGCTTTGACGATTTGCAGTCTGCGGTGTCGCGGGTGATTGGACTAGCTAAATCAGTCAGTCTTTTCCTAAATGCTTGGAAAATCCCGCATTTTCAAGCTGCATCCCTGACCAGGAAAAGGCAACACTCGAGATTAGTGGCTGTCAACTTTAAGATGTAGGCACGCAAATATGCGTGTCAGTGTGATTCACAAAACGCTGCACTTCCGCTTAGCTTCTGTCATATGCGACCCTGCAGCTAGGGCCTGTATCAACCAAAGTAAGAATATAAGTGCTACTATGGCTGGGTGAGGTGTTATATTAAACGTGAATATGTGGACAAGGTAATGTATGATAGCGTTTCTGACCCAGCGAGAGGGGGGTGAGGGTGTTTATCTGCCGCAGGAAACACTCGCCGCATAAGAGCGTCTCCCCCGATGACGTGCAACGTAGGAATAACTAGTGCATCTCCCCTTGATCCTATACATTTGATGTCTTTGAGTGTAATGTGGAGGATGCATAGCCTGTGCCAAGGCTTTGAAACCTTAATGACGATTGTCTTAAGACATTAAGTATCAAGGATCAAGGGGAGATGCACTAGTTATTCCTACGTTGCACGTGGGAAGAGGTCTAGCTAGACCTCTTCCCACTCAATGGAGAACAGTTACTTATAATTAAGATTATTTTGTTAATAACACACCTATAGGCGAAACACTTATTATCTCATTACACGTGAGTTATAATGGTTAACTTAGGAAATCGCCGGTTACCGAAGTTTGCCCTAGCCAAAGGCCCAATGCGGAGGAGGTACAGCTGGAATACCAACTAATGTTGCGATAACCCGCATGCAAAAACAAAACGCAGGGGACAGGACATATCAGTCAAAATGTATTTGTAAAAAAATTTTAAAAAAGAAAAAATAATCGCACGATGCAAATAATACCATTTAACACGTGGAAAAAAGGCGATTTGGGTGTTCCGACAGCTCCCGGTAACTTCGCAAAGAAGAAAATACGAGAGAGTATCGCTTGAGCTGGTTAAGGAGGATCAAAAAGGTGTCAACCGCGGATTGTCAGAAGCTCTAAGGGTGTGTCGTGCTTCAGACGAAACGCCAACAGCGAAGGGACATACCCAATTTGTCGACGAGTTGTCGGACCGTTCTCCCAGCGAAACACGGTTCAGAAATGCAAAAAACCTTTATGAAAAACCCACACAGTATTCGAAACCCAGGTAGGCGGAAGAACAAACAGAGGCGTCGATCTCTGGGGAGGGCTTTGTACGTTAGTTCTTGGGTGATCCAGGTGGCAGTCTATCCTGATACCCGTAC